CACAATAAAATAAAAGTGAAATCAACAAACTTGAGAAATGGTCATTGGGGGCATTTTTTCCGTTGCTTCTCGCGCTAAAAAACATATTCAAAGAAGTACTTAATAAGTTTGTGGAAACGACTTGATTAAACCAATTTCTTGTTGGACTGCAAGAATGAGAGTGAAATCATTTCCCTCTAATTAATGTTAATTGGTTCAACAGTCTTTAATTGTCACTAATCAATAAATAGATTTGAATATCGTTAAAACTCAGGTACTTTTGTGACATCTAATAGAGGACGCTGCAGTCAAAAAGTTATTGCGCAAATGTACCCTGTCTGCCATATTGGCCTCTTCATCAACTAGTCTCACTCTTTCCAGTGTCATTTTAGTTGAAACCGACTTATATTTGCATTCCGATTTTATTCAGTTAATTCAAAATTTTTGTTTTTTTCTCTTCATTTCTTTCCTTTTTTTTATTTTAATTACTATTCCAATCAAATTTATGTGTGATTAACCAGCCATCCAATCAAAAATGCCTAAACCAATAAGTGTACGCGTTACCACTATGGACGCTGAATTGGAATTCACCATTCAGCCCAATACAACTGGTAAACAACTTTATGACCAAGTATGTTACTTGATTTAATCAAATTTAAACCTCACCCATCGGCATGCGTTTATTATTTATTGCCAAAAATATTAATGTTATCAAATTTTCGTGTGTGTATGTGTGTGTCTTCAGTCTTTTTTACATGAAAAGTATAGTTTTCATTGAAAAATGACTGTTGAAAGTATTGTAATACACATTTATGGATTTATGAATACATTATCATTACTGTAAGTACAGATTAATTAATTGACTGTTTTTCCCTTTTTTCTCTCCTTTCTTTCTCTTCTTTTGTTTTTTCTCGTTTCCTTTCTCTTTCTTCCTATTTTTTTTCTTCTCTCTTTTCTCTTTTCTCTTTCTCCTTTCTCTGTTTCTTCTCCATCCCTCTGTCTCTTTCTCTCCTTTCCCTCTCACTCTTTCTTCCTCTTGGACAGGTTGTCAAAACAATCGGTTTACGTGAAGTTTGGTTCTTTGCCTTACAATATGTTGATAGTAAAGGTTACACAACATGGTTGAAGTTGAACAAAAAAGTATTGAGTCAAGATGTAAAGAAAGAAAGTCCTTTGCAGTTTAAATTCCGTGCCAAATTTTTTCCCGAGGAAGTATCAGAGGAGATCATTCAAGATATCACCCTGGTTGGTTGATGCTAAATTTTATTCTCTTTCCAACTCGCACCAATACATAACTTTAACCATTGTCACTGTCATCATTGCCACCATCGATTATTCATCAATAACTTTCACCACTTTAAATCTTCATCATCAACTTAACGCCACAATACTTTTCTGAGAGTAGCAGCAATCACAACAAACTTAAAAGATTAATTTAACGATAATGAAGATCATCAAACATACAACACAGCGCAGCTCAATTCAATCACATGATGATGAATGACTAAGCTATCGGTTTTTTTGAGGTTTGACTGTGATAATCAAGGAGGAAGAGAAAATTTGATGAAAAAGAGTGAAAGAGCAAGATGAAGAGAAATTGAACAAGTGAAATTCAGGAGAATAGCTATTAGGCAATAATTCTCATACAACTCAAACCAGAATAATTATTGAACCTTTTTTTTGTTCTCTGAAAATGTTTCAGTTTGTCTATCCTCT